AGAAGACGGGAAGCTCTCGTCTCGCTTGTCTTGATGTTTTCAGGGGCCTCTCCATTGCTGTAAGCTCTCTCTTTTGATTCTAATCGAGGCCCAGTAAATATTTTGAGTGGATGAAGTGAAATAGATTGATGAGCTTGTGGAGTTTGATGTTGATCATGCTTAGTAATTACCCAATCTGATGAAACTTAGATTTGGCAAATTTATTTGTGATAATTGAATTAGGTTAGGAGATGAATTTGTTAATCTTTTTCGTATTGGAAGCTTCGTTATCTTAAACAACTGAAACTCGACTCAACAAGGGAAACTATTCGGTGGACATGGTCCTGTGGATATGTCCATTGAAGTTACAAATTTTTCTATAAAAAAAAAAAGCTGAAGCTGCAAGATTACGCAACTAAAGTAATAAATTGGTAATCTGATAGAATTTAAGATTGTTTTATATATGGTTATTCATAGATTGAAGGGTTTAGCTACTTAAAATCCCTCATCTTTTTTAATCAGCAGACAAAACCTCGTGACTGATTTATACCATTGATAGTTATTCAGAACTGTCATGTGCAGGACGCACGAAGACACCTAATTTTGTGCCGTCAAAACTCTATTAGCCGCACATGTTATGTGCAGGATACATGATAATTTTGAAATGACTTTTATCGAGTATTATAATTGAGTTCGATTGTGGGCCGAGCAGGCCTTAACTCTGCTCAAGCTCATTCAGTTGCTTTAAGGAGCCTTTTCCCCCCAACTTTCAACTCTTTTATGTATTGAATGAGCCTGAGGGAGCTTTTATCAAGCCTTAACCAAGACGAGCCGCAAGCTTCTTGAGTCTATTTAGAGCTTTGCACATGAATTTCCCATGTGAATTAAGGAATGGGTGTGGAAGAGTCATAGAAGTGTCCTAACACGATCTATTATGAGATAAATTTGGATATGTTTTATTCAGAGTATATATTGCTCAATTTAAATAATGTGCAGGGTCACTCAATGTTCACAAAGATGCCCATGTTAATCTTAATTGTGTATGAGAACGTGTTCATATGGTTTGATGTTCTTTCATATTGTTCTTGTAGAGAATAGAGAAAACCCTAATAGTTTATTGAGAATAACAAGAGAGATATATATAGCCATACAAATAGGGTTAAGGTTAACGGGTAATAGCCCATTAACCCAATACCTAATATTTAACTTAACACTCCCCCTCAAGCTGGAGCATAGATGTCTACCATGCCCAGCTTGTCACATATAGTAGAGAACACCTTTGAAGAAGTAGCCTTGGTAAGAATATCAGCAAGTTGTTATGAGGACGGAGTGAATATGAGAGATACTATCTTTTTCTCCTAAGCATCTCTGACAAAATTACAGTCAACTTCAATATGTTTTGTCCTCTCATGAAACACAGGATTCTGTGCAATATAAATGACAGACTGGTTGTCACAATGCATTGGCATGGGTCCAGGCTAAACAAAACCAAGCTCTGTCATAAACTTCCTTAGCCACACCATCTCACAAGCAGTGTGAGCCATTGCTCTATATTCGGCCTCTGCACTAGATCGTGATACTACATCTTGTTTCTTGCTTCTCCAAGTCACAAGATTACCTCCAACAAAAGTACAAAATCCTGAGGTTGACTTTCGGTCTCCCATGTCTCCTGCGTAGCCAGCATCAGAGAAAGCCGAAATATGAGTATGCCCATGCTTCTTATATAACAATCCTTTGTCAGGGCAACTCTTGACATATGCCAAAATCTTCAGAGCTGCTGTCCAATGAACCTCTCTAGGTTTGTGCATAAACCTGCTTAATACACCTACTGCAAAAGTAATATCAGGTCTGGTAACTGTCAAATATATTAGCTTCCCAATTAGTCTCCTATATCGTCCAGCATCATCTAGGAGAGAGGTATCATCACGCCACAAATCAACATTTGCCTTCATTGGAGTGCTTGCAGGTTTGCATTCCAAGAGACCTGCTTCTTCTAGTAAATCTAGCACATACTTCCTTTGGGACAACAACAGGCCATGTTTTTGATATGCAACTTCAATCCCAAGAAAATACTTTGGCTTTCCCATGTCCTTAGTGCTGAGCAACATACCTAGGAGGTTGCTCCATATAAACCTCCTCGTCCAAATCACCATAAAGGAAAGCATTCTTCACATCTAGTTGGTGCATCGCCCAATCCATATTAACAGCCAGAGAGAAAAGAATTCTGATGGAGTTGAGACGAGCAACGGGAGAAAAGGTTTTAAAATAATCGATGCCATATGTCTAGGTATAGCCTTTCGCAACTATGCGAGCTTTATAACGGTCAACAGACCCATTGGGGTGATATTTTAGGGTATACACCTATCTGCAACCAACCACAGTCGCTCTAGTAGGAAGAGAAACCAAGTCCCAAGTCCCTCTAGAAAGTACTGCATTCATTTCCTCATCCATGACCTGCTTCCAAGCTGGTACTAACATAGCTTCCTCATATGACCTAGGTATAGATACAGTGGACAAGGACAAGGCAAACTGACGAAAAGATGGGTTGAGACGGTCATAAGAGATAAAAAGAGATATAGAAAATTTCGGGCAAGACCATTTACCTTTTCGAAGAGCAATAAGGATATCCAAGTCAGAAGGAATAGAGGTCTCAACATGAGATGGACCGACAGCTGGAGATGAAGGTTCAGTAGTAGCAGATTCAGGGGCATGTACTTTTGGGCGGCGAGAGTATGTCAGTAGAGGCTTCGGTGCAGGAGCTACAGGAGCAGGTAATGGAATAGTAATAATGCGATTAATCAAATAATTTGCAGTGAGAACAGCATCAGACCACAAATACTTTGGAATATTCATATGTATCATCAGTGTTCTAGCAACATCTAGAATATGCCTATGCTTCCTCTCAGCAACTCCATTTTGTTGTGAAGTGTGAGAGCAAGAAGTCTGATGAATAATGCCATTAAGAGCACAAAATTTTGAAACATCACTTTTCATATATTCCAAAGCATTATCAGTACGAAGAATACGAACAGAAGTAGAGAACTGAGTTTTTATTTCATTATAAAAGAGTTCAATAACGTGCGAGACCTCTGACCTCTCTTTTAACAGATAAAGCCACGTCATGCGAGAGAAATCATCAACAAAGATAATAAAATATCGAAAACCTTTCACAGAGGGAACACGATAAGGACCCCAGAGGACCCCAGACATCGGAATGAACCAACTCAAAAGCAAAACTACTATGTTTATCGACTCGACTCTGAAAAGTAGCACGATGGTGCTTACCCAGTTCACACGACTCACAACCTAAAGAGGAAATAGATGTCTGAACAGAAACTACCGATCTAAGTTTTTGTAGTGAAGGATGACCTAGACGCCAGTGCCACAATAAAGTGGAGTCAGACTGTGATGCAACAAGGCCAGCTTCTGGCACACTGTCGTCCAAATAGTACATACCTCCTTTCTCATGCTCCGAACCAATCTTCATCCCAGTTGCTAGGTCCTGAAAAACACAATAAGATGGAAAGAAGGTGACTTTACAATTATTTTGTTTTGTAAACTTGCTAATGGATAATAGGCTAACAGGGAATTTGGGAACATATAACACATCAGTTAGTTTTAAAGAGGAAGTAGCATGAACTACTCCATCACCACGAACTGGAGAAAGAGTACCATCAGCAATGCGGATAGAAGAAAACTTATCAGAAAGATGTAAAGATACAAAGTGACCCTTTATACCTGTCATATGAGATGAGGCTCCAGAATCTAGTACCCAGGGTTTGTGAGAAGAAGCTATGTAAGCATCCATACCTGAAGAGGATGCATGAGTAGCAGAATAAATATTTTAAGAGAGTTCTAGCTGGCGCAACCTCTCATAATCTGCCTGAGAAATCTGAACAATAGGAGCAGTAACAGCTGGTCCACCAGAAGTAGTAGCAGAAATAGATGAGTTAGTCGACTCTGTATCAGCTACCTAGACCCACTGAGGACGACCAAACTTCTCTCAGCACTTCTCAGAAATATGATTGGTTCCCCCACAATGACCACACTGTCGTGAGCCCTTATCAGATTCACCTTGCCTCCCACCAAAGGAACCACGTCCTCCCCCTGAATCACGGCCACGACCACGACCACGACCGCGGCCTTTGCCTCGATTAGAGAACATGGCAGACTGATCCATCGTAGGTGGAGATGGTGTAGTAGTATCAGAAGTAACACCAGTAGAGACCTGCATGACTCTGGAGAATGTAGCAGTCAGTGAGGGAATTGTATCTCCACCTAATATCTGTCCTCTCACCTGGGACTGTAAATTAGAGTACAATCCAGAAAGAAATTTGGATACTGCCAGATCACGACGATACCCTAATAGTGTCGCTGCATCAGCTACTGCAGGCTGATGCATCTCTAGTTCGTCTATCAGTCCCTTCAATTCACCAAAGAATTCCGGAACTGACTTATCTTCCTGTTTGAGCGTAAACAATCGTTCATAAATTTCAAATACGCGAGAAACATTCTTCTCGTTCCCGTACATAATCTTTAGGCTGTCCCACATCTCCTTCGCAGTGGTTAAAAACATAACGCTGCTACTGATCTGTGCTTCCATACTGTTGAGAAGCCAAGTCATAACACAATAATCAGATGAAAGCCATGAATTGTAGGTGGGATCTGAGGTTGGTGGTGGAGATGCAAGAAGATGTGGTAGTTTGCTCTGAGCGCCAATGAAGATGCGGAAAGCTTATGCCCAGAGCAGATAGTTTGCACCATTCAATTTAATAGTAGTCCCCAAGACTACCTTGGGCGCAGAGGTCTCACCAGCAACAATAGAAGGAGTAGTAGAGGAGGAGATGTCCGACATCGAAGTAGTAGTCATTTTTATTTTTGAGCAACAATAGGAGACAAATAGTAGTCAAATAGGCAGAGTAGTAGTAGAGATCCGTTTTCGAAACATGAACTAAGAGCAGATCAGGAGCAGGATTAGAGGCAGAGTCGTAGATAGTCATGCCCTCACGCTGCGTAGGCGAGATCACCTGAGGGAGAGAGCCCTGGCTTTTGTTTGCACAAAGGCTCAATTTTTATATTCTTGTTTCTCGAAGGAAACAAGAATAAAAGTGAAATATCTCAACAACGTGAGATAGACACTCTTCCTCTCATCAGTTCTATGACTGAAATGTCGAGGCTTTCTCTCATCAGTTCTATGACTGAAATGTTGAGGGATACAATCGTCCTCTCATCAGTTCGAAGACTGAGATGTTGAGGGAATAACCAACACGATGTAGGGGGCACTGTAGCACGGCACTGTAGCAGCAGGCGGCGGTACTGTAGCAGCGAGCGGCAGCTAGGGTTTTTGAATGAAGATTTGTGACGGCTAGGGTTTCATGCTCTGATACCATGTAGAGAATAGAGAAAACCCTAATAGTTTATTGAGAATAACAAGAGAGATAAATATAGCCATACAAATAGGGTTAAGGTTAACGGGTAACAGCCCATTAACCCAATACCCAATATTTAACTTAACAGTTCTCATTGTACTATGTAAGGGCTTTGTCTTTTGTAGATAACTTTTTTTGTACTCGTAGTCAAAATTCTTAGAAGATTAGCTAGAGACTTTTCATATAATTCTATATAATTAAAGATGGATAATTTTGTTTTGGCAATTTCTTATGTTGCAGCTTATGATATTTGTCGATTACGCTGGTTCGATTTTTCCATCCATTGCTCATTCCCCATGGAATGGTTTACAGTTAGCAGATTTCGTGATGCCATTTTTTCTGTTTATTGTTGGC